GAGTCTGGAATAAACTGCCAGAAAAGGTGGTGGAAGCAGGCACATTGGTGACATTTAAGAGGCATCAGATGGTTACATGAACAAGGAGGGAAGAGAGGGATATGGACTGAATAAGGGCAGAGGTTTGCTTTTTAGATTTTAGTTAAGGCACGATGATTGGCACAGGCTTAGAGGGTTGAATGGCTTGTTCCTGTGCTGTACTTCTCTTTTGTTCTTCCTTTAAACCTCCTGGACAATGGTAATTCCACAACACAAGAAGTTCAACATCATCTAGCACAAAGCTGCCCACTTGATTGGCACCCCATCTAACACCTCAACATTCACTCCCTCCACCACCAATATACAGTGACAGCAGTATGTACCACCAAGATGCACTGCAACAAGGCTCCTTCATCCGCACCTTGCAAGGTACAGGTACAGGAGAACACCACCATCGACCAACAATTACTTTTCTAGTCACATAACATCTTGGACTTAGAACTGTATCAGCATTTCCTCACTTTCACGTGGTTAAAATACCTGGGACTCCTACTTTAACATCTGGCTGCTCAACATCTTCTCTAAGGCAATGAGGGATTGTCAATATATACTTAGCCAGCAATGCCAACATTCCATGAATGAATTCAAAGAACTCCACCTGTTAGCACAATCCCCATGTGCCTTAATATAGAAATCCAGTAACCTTTCATGAATATTCTGACCAACAGAGCACCCACAACTCTCTGGAATAGAGACTTCCAAATATTCACTCCCCTTTTGAATAAACAAATTTCTTATCCTATTCATAATTTGCTGACCTCGTGTTCTAGATTCCCTAGACAGGAAAAACATTTTCAGTAGCTATCCTGTCCAGGCCTTTAAAAACATCAATTTTCAATTTGGAATGAAACATCAATAACAAATTTACTTATAGTTGCTTGGTAGTTCACACCTTGAGTATTGCTGAAAAAGACATTTTTCACCTTGTATTGTTCAGGATAATTAGCAAGAATGACCAGCTCAAGGGGAAAACCGACATCTGTACTTCTTGAGAAGAGTGCTAATTAGTTGAGGTAATACCACGGAGAATACATCAAATAATAGCAAATAAGAACATCGACAATATGTGCCTTTTACCAGCAACTCAAAATTTGCTACAAAAACATTTTATTTTCTCTGTTCCAAGTTTTATAAACCTTGTGAGAAATCAAAGGGTAGTTTTAAATTTGTCAGTAAGGTCATCTTTAAAAGAGGCATGTTGCTTAAAATCTTCAAATTAAAAGGTAATTTCCACCCTGTAGACTTGGATGATACATAAACAGCTTCTCTCAGTGCTCACAATAATTTGCTTCCAGCTATGTTGAAAGCATTGACGTCATAACCAAACCTGATCAGAGTCCAAGAACTTATCTAAATGTGTGTGGACATATAACCCAAACAGGTTTATTATAAACAGGGTGCCATTTATAATTAAGAAAATCATTTCAACTGTGATAACTATTAATCTTTGATTCCTATGGGAAAATTGTGTTATTTTAGATTTATAGCACAGAAAATGGCCCTTTGGCCCAATGTTTTTGACAGGCATAGACTCAATCACCTAACTATTTTAATCCCATTTTCTAGCTCTTGGGCCCAACGCCTTCTATGCCTTGATAACGCAAGAGCAGATCTAAATACTTCTGAAATTATGAGATTTCTGCTTCTACCTTACAGGCAGTGAGTTCCAGATTCCCACCATTCTCTGGGCAAAAAGGTTTATATCACCTCCCTTCTAAACCTCTGTCCCGGTCAATGATCCTTTCATCAAGGGGAAACGTTTCTTCCTGTCTATTTATTTATGCCCCTCAGTTTTATACAAACATCCCCTCTCAATCTCCTCTAATCCAAGGAAACAACCCAGTCAATCCAATATCTCTTCAGAAACTCTTCAGCCTGGGTAACATCCTGATAAATCTCTGCACCCTCTCCAATGTCACAGAGAGATAGACATGTACAGCACGGAAATAGACCCTTTGGTCCAACTTGTACATGCTAACCAGATATCCTGAATTAAACTAGTCCCATTTGCCAGCATTTGCCCCGTATCCCCCTCTAAACCATTCCTATTCATGTACCCTTCCAGATGCCTTTTAAATGTTGTAATTGTAGCAGCCTCCACCACTTCCTCTGGTGGCTCATTCCATATGTGATCCCATCAGTTCTATAACGTGAATTCTAGAACTGCACACAAAGCTCTAGCTGTGACCTAACCAATGACTTATGCAGTTCCTGCATCACTTTCTTGCTCTTAAACTCTAAGCCTTGGTTAATAATGGCAAGCATATCATATGCCTTCTTATCCACTTTATCTACCTGACCTGCTACCTTAAGGGACGTGTGGACATGCATACAGAGGTCCCTCTGACCCTCAGTGCTTCTCAGGGGCCTACCATTCACCATATATTTCTTTGTCTTGTTTCCCCTGCCCAAGTGCATCACCTCACATGTATATGAATTTTCCACCAATCAGCCCATCTATATCCTCTTGTAGTCCAAGGCTATCCTCCTCACCTGCCGATTTTCATATCATCCACAAACTTACTGATCAACCCTCCTACATTAGAGCCTAAACTATTTACACATATATCACAAACAGCAAGGCTCTCAAATGATTTTCACCCAGAGGGTGGTAGAAATATGGAACTTGCAGTCTAAGAGGGTGGAGGAGGTGGTACTCAACACTTCAGAAGGATCTGGATGGGCACTTAAAATGCCAGGGCATAGTAGGATATTGGACCAAGTACAAATAAATGTGATTAATGGTGTTGTGTCTGTCGGTTGGCATAAACATGATGGGCCAAAGGGTCTGTTTCTATGCTGTAAGGTTCTACTACAGTAATTTTTCAGTGGTGAAAATCCCCCGAAAACACAATTTCGTGTACATCTGATTTCCTTGCAGATTTGTTTCTCTCTCTCTACTAATACTCTCATTAATATGATACTGCAGTAGCATAATCATAGATTTTTTGCTTCTCATCTATGTCCTTAACCCCCGAGAGATCTTCTGTTTCCTACACCTCAAATGTCTTTTCTAAGCAACAATACCACCCCACCTCCCTTTTTGTTTTTATCTCTTTTCTCAAGACATCATATACTGAGCACCTAATCCTCACCATTTTTAATACGGTTTTAATTTCTATTATTTAATTACATAGTCAATAATGTCACAGGAGGCAGCTATTAAGCCTGCTCAGTCCGTGGCAAGGATTCTAAAATATTCTTCAGCATTTGCCGATTCATGTTCCTCTACTTTAGGAACAAAACACAAACGGTGCTGCTGAACAACTCCAATCAATCCGCAAGTGATCCATGCTTCTAATAACTTACTGTTTTAATACCAGAGTATTTAAGCACCATTCCCATTCTGACTTTCTGTATTATTCCAATGAAGATCAATGGCAGTTTAAGAAACAGTATCATCCGATTTTTCATCCGATCAACTTCAATCATTTCAGATCACAACGGGAATATGATCTGTAGTTTAGGTCTCCCTATCCAAGGAAAGATATACTGGCCATAGAGGGAGTGCAGCAGAAATTCACTAGGCTGATGCTAGGCTTGTTCATGAGGAGAGAATGGTTTGACTGAGCCTATATTCATTAAAATTTAGAAGGATGAGAGGTGATCTGATCAAAATGTGTAAAGTTCTAACAGGGGTGGACAGAATAGAAGCAGGGATGACGTTTTCTCTGTATGGAGAGTTTAGTATCAGGGGATGCAGTCTCGTGATATGGGGTAGGTTATTTAGGACTAAGATGACAGAAATCTTTTTCACTCAAAAGGGGCATGAACCTGTGGAATTCTCTATCACAAAAAGCTATGGAAGTCAAGTCACTGAATATGTTTTAAAACAAAAAAAAGAGGTAGAACAAAAGTTTTCGATTTTAATGGCATAGAGGTATATGGGGAAAGAGCTAATGCTGATGATCAGCCACGATCACATCGATTGGCAGAGCAGGCCTGAACAGCCAAATGACCAATCCTAGTTTCTGTTTCAATCAATCTCTGCTCTCATTTGTTTGGGCAACAGTGACTGGTAATGATTTGACGTTGTCATTTAAGAGTTTTTCTAAGGGCCAAATTATGCATCCTTGCTCACCACATCAGCACTTCTTTTCCACACTTTGCACCATCACCCGTTTTGGCCTGGAGTGCACACACAATAATCTGCAGGCAACTCTCAACTTGGTTGAATAACCAATCAAGCCGTAGTGTAAAGAATATACCTTTATTTTTCCGTACCTTTGATCTTGGACTGAAATGAATTTTAAAAGTTACTCCCACCATCCCAAGTACTGAAGGATTTTCTGACACACAATGAGAGAGTGCTGTTTACCCAGCTGGTTGTTCAAGTAGTAGGGAACACCTAGTTACACACCAGCTGGAAGCAAGGGAGTGTGCAAATGGAGCTTCAGTCAAATAGTTGACAAGTCTGGTGACCAAGTCATAGTCTACTGAGCATTATTGTTGACAAAAAGACTTCTGCTTGGCAACAACAGGATTTGCTCCCAAGTCACTTAACAGCTGGTCAGTTTTATTTTATTCATTAATGGGATGAGGGCGTCACTGGCTAGGCAGCATTTATTGCCCATCCCTAATTTAAGAGTCAACCACATTGCTGTGGGTCTGGAATCACATGTAGGGCAGACCAGGCAAGGACGGCAGTTTCCTTCCCTAAAGGATATTAGTGAACCAGATGGGTTTTTCCCGACAATCAACAATGGCCATCTTTAGATTCTTAATTTCAGGTATTTTATTGAATTCAAATTCTACCATCTGCCTTGGCAGGATTCGAACCCGGATCCCTAGAATGTTATCCAAGTCTCTGGATTAACAGTCCAGCAATAATACCATTAGACCATTGCCTCCCCTGAAAATGTTCCAGTTGGAATCCATCATATATTTACACGGAAGGTGCTGTTCTTGCTCGACAGTAAAAAGCATCTCAAGACTAAAGACAGACAGTTTATTTCCCTTACCAGTTGCTGTCGGCTGTGTCTTAAGAAATCAGAGACCTTTAAGTGTGAACCAGTCACCCTGTGCCTCCTGCAAACAAGTGATAGTACCTGGAGAAGGAAGATCAGGAACATTGTCCTGATAAATGATAATGATCACCTCCGCAAACCCTGTGGACAGTGACTACTGGAATCCGTCCCAGTCTCCTCCTCTCCCCATGACACCCACGCTTTCTTAGCTATTTTGGTTGCAGAGGGGTTTTAGAACTGCATTAGATTTTTACGAGTAGAGTTATACATCAATGGTTCATAATCGTTTGACTTTTTTTAAGTCAATAGATTCTTTATTGTTAAGTATAGATACCTGGTCTAAGCTTTCTGTCAACCGGTCATAAAGGACAAGTAAATTGGGGAATTTTGTGTACTTTTAAAAATCTTTAACATCTGTGACAATTCCAGGATTATTGGGATTTGATTTCTGGTGCACTACTCCAGTGATGCACAACACTAGGGCTGCATTTGAATGGCACTAAATTACCTTCGCAGGATTCAGTGTGGGAGCTCCTCCTTTAAACAGCTGTTCAGTCAAGTCTTCAATAACGTTGCCACCCATGAACGGCCACAAAGGTTGCACTCTACAAGTCCACATCCTGACACTCCTTTACAGCTGAAGAAAAACTGGGGGACATATTATTAACACCCAAGAAAGCTCCAGACATACCATCAGCACGCCAACAGAAGGACTTATGGAACCTAGACGGATTGTCACCTGAACATGAACTTAGGAGTGACAATTGCACTGTACAGACCACTGCATCAGAATGCTAAATCCCTCTACTCAAAACTGATCAAAAAAGTTACAGGGTAGCACTCAGAAGTGTTTAAGGGTACTCTGAAAGCTAATTTGGAAAATGATTAGTATTAGCATCAACAAGTAGGCCGTGAGTGCACTGGGCTGCTGAGGGTGGTGAGCTGAGCTTCACAGAGGCTTTCAAACAGGATGGATGACAAGGGTTGAAGACACAAGAGTGTGTGTAAAGTTCAAGGAGGTATGTGGCCCATTATTGGCTATGGTTTTGCCCACAGACTAATGACTGACAGCCAGTGTGAAATGAAGAGATTAGTTTGTTTCTAAATGATGTTTCCCCCTTAGTATTTGACTGTGCCTTTTCCACTTCCTTTATTTTTCACTAACTTCATCATTTCATCTTACAACATCTTTATCTTCTTTGGACTTTGGGGCACCATAAGAAGGTCCTTCTTTTATGCAGAACTATTCTAAGAGATTTGTTATTTAATCACTCCTGGCTTCCACTGACGTACCTTTTATTCTTTTCTTCACCTACTTGCTTAAAACATGTAGCATTTCTAACTTCATCCAGTTGACAGAAGGACTGTTTCACTCCAAACTGCTTAATTTGCCAGGTATTTGCAGTATTTTGTTTTTATTTCTGAATTCCCACACCTATAGCATTTTCCATTTCTTGTATTTTCATGATATTTGAATTTGGACAAGAACTGAGGAAAGCTTCAGAGACAGTTACAAGATCACTTCCTGGGTCACAGATCTTGCGGTGGAGAGATCAGTGACTCCAATTGTCACAGGATTCAGGTTTTGGCCAAGAAGGTGAAATTTGACTCCTGAAGTCAACAGTTAGGAAGGATAGCTTGAAAATCATAAATGTTTAACTAATTGGTAACCTCAATCTAACACACCTAGTTCTCTGGTAAACTCAAAGGGTTGCCACAATCTATTATTAACAACCGCACAATACTTACCATTGCTTATATGTGCAGATCTTACAATTGTCAACAAAATGCTTTGGTACCCTATCATCTTAATTTCCATTTCCTTTCATCCTAAGATCACTTTTACTACTTTTTTTGTATTCACATTGCTACTGTCCCTTTTATTTCAGGAGATCTACTTTGATATAGTCAAACCCCTTTTGGATGTACACCAACAGCATTACCTCACCAGCCCTCTCTGACACCTAAAAACACCAGCAAATTGAATATGACTTTCTTTAAAGAAATCCATGCTGGCTCTCCACACCTAACCCTTATTTGTCTACACAGAACTATTAATTCCATTCAAAAATGACTGTTTCTTTAAATTATGCTACCACTGAAGCCCTGCTATTACAAATATCAGTTTATCTGCACACCACTTTATGAACATGGGCGTAATATTGGCAATTCTCCAGATCTCTGATACAACCCTAGTCTAAGGAAGACAGAAGAATTATGGCCAGTGCCTTGCAATTTCCAATCTAACTACTCTTGGGTGCATCTTGTCCAGACCTTGTGCCTTCTCAACTTTTAAGTACCAGCAACTTATCATATCTCAGAATTTTGAACCTTTCTTGTGGCCGTGTTTCTTGCTCTCACCCCAGTTTGGATAACATTTGCTTTCTTGGTAATGACAAATGAAAAAGTATTCATTTATTACCTCAGCCATGTTGACGGCCTCCAGATACAAATTTCTTTCTTGATTCCTAAATGCACTTACTTCTATGTTACCACCCTTTTTCTATTTCCGTACCTTTAGAAGACTTTTGGAATGCATTTTCTGTTAGCTGCAGGTCTCTTATCATAATCCTGCTTTGCCTCTTATTTGCTTCTCCACAACCCGTCTGAGATTTCTGTATTCAGTTTGGTTTTCAGTTGTATTTTTTAACCTGGCACCTGTTATAAGCACTTTTTCTACATATTATTTTCTCTCTCACCAAGCAAACTCTTGAAAAAAATGTTATTTGCCTTATCTTTCCCTTTTGAGGGAATATATCATCTCTACCTTTAAGATAGCCATTGTCAAGCTAGAGGTTTTCCTGTCAATTGTTGGCTCCATTTATCAGAGCAGCTCCATCCTTACCTTACTGAAGGTCTCCCTCAGGTAATTATTTTTACTTTGGATTGTTCATTGTTCTTTTCCACAGTCATCTTAAAGCTTACAACACATGATCGCTGTCCCCTAAATGATTCCCAGTGACACTTGAAACCCATGTCCCCACAGCAGCAATCTGGGCCTCTGGATTTTTAGTCCGGTAATGCTACCATCTTGCCCAACTTGATAATTCCCAGTCTTTGACCTGAGCTCATAGCCACATTATTATTTTATGGCTGTTCAGTTCAGCTTCAATCAATATTGATAAAATGTTGATATGGGCAGGCAAGTGGGGAGGATTCTTTCTTGTTGAAGTCGGTTATTACCTGGCACATGGGTAACGTGTTACTTTGCTACTTTGTCTGAATATTGTTCAGGTCATGTGCATACAGACAGACTGGTTTGGTGTCCAAGGAGTCAGTAATAGTTCTGAGCATTGTGCAATAATTGACAAACAACACTACATTAGCATTATGTAGGAGGAAAGATCATTGATGGAGCAGCGAAAGATGGGTGGGCCAAGGACAGAGGAACTCCTGCAATAATGTTCTGGGATGAGATGATTGATCTCCAATAACTTCAACCATCTACATTTATTCTAAGCACGATTACAAACATCCCAACTTCCAAATGCGGTTTTCAAACCAGACAAAATCATTGGCTCGTTGGTCTAGGGGCATGATTTTCACTTTGGGTGTTGTGCGTTGTGGATGTGCGAGACGTCCCGAGTTCAAATCCCGTTCAAGCCCTTAGGGGCAGCACGGTGGCTCAGTGGTTAGCACTGCTGCCTCACAGCACCAGGGACCCGGGTTCGATTCCAGCTTCGGGTGACTGTCTGTGTGGAGTTTGCACATTCTCCCCGTATCTGCCTGGGTTTCCTCCCACAATCCAAAGATGTGCAGGGTAGGTAGATTGGCTATACTAAATTGCCCATAGTGCCCAGGGATGTTTAGGCTAGTTGGGTTAGACATAGGGAATGGGTCAGGGTGGAATGCTCTTTGGAGGGGCGGTGTGGACTTGTTGAGCCAAATGGCCTGTTTCCATACTGTAGGGGTTCTATGGTTCATTGTGGAAGTAGGCCATTCAGTTTGAGTCCACACCAATCTTCCGAAGATGATCCCACCCAGACCCACACCTTCAGAAGGGTCCAGGCCCGAAACGTCAGCCTTCCTGCTCCTATGATGCTGCTTGGCCTGCTGTGTTCATCCAGCTTTACGCCTTGTTGTCTCAGATTCTCCAGCATCTGCAGTTCTTACTATCTCTGATACATAAAACTGACATTGGTGGTGGCTAAGTTTTTGATTGTAATTCGGAAAAAAATTGGATTTTCATGCATTTGGAGAGGCAAGGACTGATTAGGGATTCTCAGCATGGTTTTGTACGAGGGAACAAGGTGCAGGGCTGGATGAACACAGCAGGCCAAGCAGCATCATAGGAGCAGAGAGGCTGACGTTTCGGGCCTAGACCCTTCATCAGAAAAGGGGGAGGGGAAGGGGGTTTTGAAATAAATAGGGAGAGAGTGGGAGG